ATGACAAACAACAATGTGTACATTTCCTACTGATAATTTTATAAAATAAAAAAATCTTGTATGCCATGGAAATATCAAATTACTATGAAAGTTTTTAAGCACATCTCTCAGTTTTTGTGTTCATCTCACTGCAAAATGTACTTCAAACTGATATCTGCGAACTACTGGTTTTAATAAACTCTAAGGTCTTACCCAATCACCATATTAATTTAAAATTCACTGATTAAGGTCAGTCACCTTGAGCAGGGCGAGCAGTGTTGGCCGAGCTGAGGCTGCAGGGCCAAGGGAGTGCAGACTGAAAAAATGCAGACCACCACAGCACTGCTCATTTCCCCGACTCTGATCCGCTGCTGTACGAGGGGTCTAATCAGACCTATGTCTGCCTCCTTCCTGAGTAGGCCAGACAATTCATCTTAACAGCCTTCCTACAAAAGCTCCCCACTCTAGGTGGCCCAAAGGGAGTTCCAGACCAGTGTTGTCTCCTGGGACATTGACACAGCAGCCAAGTTTATTGGTGCTGGGGCAGTCACAGTTGGTGTGGCTGGTACAGGGGTTGGCACTGGAATGGTGTTTGGCAGCTTAATCACTGGCTATGCCTGGAACCTGTCTCTCAAGCAGCAGCTCTTCTCCTATGCCTTTCTGGGCTTTGACCTGTCTGAGGCTATGGGGCTCTTCTGTTTGGTGGTCACCTTCCACATCCTATTCACCATGTGAGACTCCATGAGAGTCACCTACCTGTCACTGCTGCTGGGACTCCATGCCATTCCTGGTGCTAGGGAGTGCTAAGCTTTACCATTAAACACAAGTTTCTCTAAACTCAAAAAAAAAAAAAAAATTCACTGATTAAATATGAAAGATTAAAAATAAAATATGATGCTAAATTTGTGAAGTTAAAAAGGGATGATATTGCTAGCAAAGAATTCTTATCATAAACATACGAATTTAATTTCTATAATGAATACACTTTTTAACAATGAATTTCAATAGGGGCAGTTACTTCTCTGCCCTAGAATGTTTAGAAATTCGTGGAGGAGTTTCTAATTCAGTTGAAGACACTATTAACATATAAGCAGGGATAAGGGATACTAAACATCCTGAAATGGGTGGGATAGCTTACTCAATGAAGAACTGCCCCTTGCTATTTTAAAAGGCTTTCCAGTGGCTCAGTGCCTGTAGATCAGTGGCTACGGCGCCAGCCACATACACCGGAACTGGCAGGTTCGAACCCAGCCTGGGCCTGCCAAACAACAAAGACAACTACAACTAAAAAATAGCCAGGTGTTGTGGC